GAAATTTTAAAAATTCCCAGGTAATTCTCATATGCAGGCAAGTTTGGCAACTGATCCTCTGCACCAGTATTTCTCCATGTTCAAAGGATGCATTTGTTGCCCAGAGATCTTGTCAGAAGGCAGACTCTGCCATGGCTTTCAGGTGACAAATGGCATGTGGCATGTACACCATACCCTGAGGTCTCAAGGCTTTGGAAGTCACAGTGGAGGGTTTGTGTGTTTTGGACCTTTTCTGTATAGAAATCACTTTTAGATAATATAAGTAATGTAAGTGGTTACTATTATTATTTTAAATTTTGACACAGGGTTTTGCCAATTCACTAAGTTGCCCCGGCTGGGCTTGAATTTACAGTGCTCCTGCTCCAGACACTCAGAGTGTTGAGAAAGGTGTTCTTGGGAACCAGACAGAAAAAATCTTTGGTTAAAGAGGAGAGTCCCTGGTTGGAGGTGATATGGTGGCTTCATTTTCATTTTTCTAGGCTTCACTTTGAGTATTCACGTTGAGTTGTTTACAAAGGGACCGAAGGGCCATCTCAGCCTAATGACCCTCCAATTATTTTTATACAAGAGACCCAGGCTTTCCTATTACAAACTTGCCATTAAGTCCCTCAGACTCACTTCTGCTGCATTCTGTGGATCAAAAATGAGACCAGATTCCAGGAGAGGAGCCTCCGAAAGGGCATGAACACCAGGAGGTGTGTGTGTAGTGAGGCATCGTCTTTGAAGACTTGCTCACATTATGAATAAAACATAAACTGCAAACCCTGACACCCCAGAGGAAGCTAGCTGTGGAAGATTGCTTTTATTGAGTTACTGGCATCTTGAGGTTTCATTCTTTTCTTCCAATGCAAATAGGATTGCCCTGAGAGAACCTGGTAAAAATTGTTCCCTTTGAGGTCTAAGGCTAAAATTAGTGTTCTCACAGTCTAAGACTGGATTGCTTATAAGTCAATCTCAAAAATACTATTTTAAAATTATTTTATCCTAGCACCTAAAGATAGACTTTTGCCTTTAGAAAGTAAGAAGTTATCTCAAATGCTTTCTAAAAATATAGTTCTACTTTGTACCAAGCTTGAAATGTTTAGCATCATGTCATCCTGGATATCCCCGTGTATATCTTCAGAATTTCATACTGATGCAAAGTGGTTATTACTTTGATTATTATGAGGTTAAAATAAATTCTTTATGTCGGTGAAGTCTACCTGCTACCAGTGCTATACTGAAGCTGTGTAAACTCTCACATTGTTGGGCCTGTGCTTTGAAATTTGTCACCCACTCTGTACCAAAGAATCTGTGAAGAGCTCTGACAGCAACAGGTTGCCTATTGATGTTTGAAAACAAAATGGATTAATTCAAAGTCTTACTCTAGAAAGAAATGCTGTTTTTGTATTCTGAGCGTGTGTATTACTGCTCGTATGCATCCTCATTCTTTTTATTATTATTTTAGTTGTACACATTCGTGCAGTGCAGTGTGGCAATTCGATCCACGCATCCAGTGTGTAATGATCCCATCACATACATCCACTCATTGCACAAGCACTGTTCATACGCTCTTGTCAGCCACTTTCATTACTCCCGGCTCCTCTGTTTTTGCAGGTGGCGCTGGAGAGGCCTAGATGCCCTGCATCAGAAGGACAGCAGTGTTGACAGCCCCGTGAAGGACTCCTCATGCCTTCCACTGTGCCAGAAGACCTTCAGCTGCTGCCTTCTCCCCAGGGCTGGCAGCTAACCCTTGTAGCCCAGGAAGTGGCAATGAGTCAGGAGGATAATGATAATGAGGAGGGAGGGAGTGGAGTGGAGGATGAAAAGCTCCCTGCTGGGTAAGCTGGTTCTGCAAGCTTTCTTCTTTTCCTGCCTCCCTGATGAATAGAGCTGTGAGTGCTTTTTCTGTCAGCTTGACTAATTACCTTTTATTAGGGTGTTGGCATTAGAGTGGAGGTGTGGGTGGCAAGGAACTGTGGTTTCAGGTGATAAGACCAGATGGCTTTGCATCATGTGGAAGGTGTCGTCTTTCAAAATACACCGGCTTACTCTAGAAGAAAAACAGTTCAATATAAAAGCAGTTCTTTTCTATTGTATCACTCAGCTGTGTGGATCAAATTATGTTTGCTTTAATTATTTCCTACTGACCCTAGTGAATCTAGGCTCATTTCTCTTGCTAACTGGATATCTAAATGAAGCCTCTTGAGGAGCAGATTTCTCATGTGTACAGGGGCTGTGAGCTGCTGTGTTTGTGCGGAGCGAGCTGATGATTTTAACCCTCTCACAATCTTGTCATCGGGTTCCTGAGAAACATTTCCACCCCCCCCCCCAGTTAGATTTTCTTTTCCAGTAGGTTTGCCGACAAAGGCAGAGCTTCTGCAGTACACAATCCTGCATGGAATCATGGAGGACATTCTCAGAGCTGCCACCAACCAAATGGTACCAACCTGTGCGTTCATGGCATGAATGCTTGGCGTTATCCTTTTGATGGGCTAGGAAAAATGATGGGGGTGTTTTACAGCGTGTTTGAAAAATGGTGCTTTAGCTATGCTATTTAGAGGAAATTGTTCAAGTGAAAACATTTTAGCTATAACCCAAAGGGACACACACCCTCTCACTTCAGTATGGTCCCAGAGTTTTTCCTGGACCGCCAGCTCGGCTTCTTCATAGGTGTCCACTGTGCCTGAGTGTTTGACTTGTTGATTTGAAATTTGAGAGCTCCCTTTTTAAAGTCAGTACATGTTTGCAGGGCATGTTTACATTTCTTGTGGGAAGTTGGTCCGGGTGCATAAGACATCCTAATTCTCTTTTCATCCTCTTCCCTTCCCGTCCCTCAGTCTCTTGATCCCTTTCCCATCTGAGAAAGACCTATCTCCCTACTTCCTATTATCTATCTTTCATTTTGCTCTTTATTTATACTTCAGTTTCTTTCATATAATAGAAATCATATGATATTTAAGCTTATGTATCTGACTTATTTCACTTAACATTATGGTCTCAGGGTGCATCCATTTTCCTACACATGACTCAAGTTTATCCTTCTTTATGACAGAGTATTACTCCACTGTGTGCCCATACCACATTTTCTTTATCTGTTCATCTACTGATGAAATTGTAAGTCAGCCATTGCAGCTGACTTGTTTTTAATAATACCTACAACAAAAAGCAGGGAAAATTTGAGTAAAATTGTCCTGTCTGAATGTTGATTTCTGCACTTATGACTGAACTAGAAGGCTACATGAATTTTATTTATTTTTTTCTTTTGTTACTAGTGCTTATTAATTATATATATATGTTTTTTGAGATAGTGTCTCATTATGTAGTTCAGGTACCATGTAGTTCAGGCTATCCTTGAACTTATGGTGATCCTCCTGCCTCAGCCTCCCAAGTGCTGGGATTACAGGTGTGCGCCACCATGCCTGGCTCAATTTTGTAAAATATTTGGTTTCAGTGTGTTACTATTTTTATTGTATCCATTCCCTGTTACCTTCCTTACCTCTCCTCTTTCCTCCTCACTCCTTTCTTCTTGTCCAACAATAGTCCCCTTTCTACTCTCCCCTCCTATTTTTATTAGATTGCGTATATTATGGGGACGTGTGATATTAGTCTTTCTGAGTCTGGCTTGTTTCACTCAACATGATTATTTTCAGTTCCATCCATTTTCCTGCAAGTGACACAATTCTATTCTTCTTTATGGCAGAGTAATACTTGACATAATACTTAATTCTGTATTCATCGTATTTTTTGTGCTTTGTGATCTTAGTAAAGCCATAACACTTTAGAACAGTTACTACGCATCTTATATTCTTTTGATGTACTATGCAACTGTAAACTGCTGGACACTCAGGGTTTAGCAGGAGCCAGAGTAGTTGCCTGTAAAACATTCATTTGCTTTGAATACCTTTTAAATTTTTACTTTCTGTGAACTATTCTATTCTTGTGCTATTTTCTTTTCTTTTCAACATAGGGTTGGAGAATGCGGAATAGATGAAGGAATTCCCAAGTGATTAAAAACAACAGTTGCAGTGTTGCTGGGAGATTTCGTGGGTGGTGGGAAAGGACACACACACACACACACACACACACACACACGCACGCACATGCACTGCTAGGAAGGAAAGAAGTATGTCTAATGGTGACTTTGCTGTCTCTTGGGTTCTCTATGGCTTTGCCCTGTGTGGGGAAGTCATACTAGAACTGGAGGAAACCTACATTTCTACATTGCCACAGGGCTCTTGTAGTCACAGGTTCTGTGAAAGCCCAGGAAGAACTGGAAACCATTAATTCAGTAGGGAAAGGCTCACATGGTTTGGTTTCTCATGGTAGTACGAACCCAGTTCTGAACCCAACACTCTGAACCCAGCTCGCCCCCCTGGAAGCTCATATTGCTACCATGAAGGCATCCAGGGAGCAGAGCCTGCCCAAAACAAGTGCAGAAGATTTTCCTTGTTCTATTTACTTATTCTGCAAATTGTCTCTCTACTCACGCTAGACTGTAAAGTTCATGAGAAGAAGAAGTTTTGCTCCTTTTGACATTCATTCTGTCATCTGCATCCAGCACATCTTCTGGTGTCTGTTAAGCTCTCCATGTGATGTGTTGAACTAAATAAAACCCCACAATTTCCCTAGGATCCCCAGAGAGCTTTCTCTGTATAGGCTATCACAGACCTTAAAGTGGTCACACAGGGGCTGGGGATTTAGCTCAGCGGCAAAATCGCCTGCCTGGCAAGCGCAAGGTCGTGAGTTCGGTTCCCGGTACCGGAGAAAAACCAAAAAAAAAAAAAAAAAAAAAGTGGTCACACAGGCCTATCAGAGGGCTTTACCTGACTGTAACCTCTCTCCTTTTCTTTTCTTTTCTTTTTCTCTTTTTTTGATAAAACCTTCCAAGTAAAGTAATAATAAAATATCACCTTACAAAAATCCCTTTAAAACTCAAGTCCACGTTTTGAGTTAAGGGCTTTACTCTTTTCTTGAATACCACCAGGAATTAAGAGTGCACTACGATCACTACTCTTGCATTTTAAAATCCCAGATGACATTTTTATTACTTTATGTAGTTAATATAGAAATTATACATTTACCTCTCCCCCCTTTACATCCTTTACTGCATCTCTGACTTATCATTGGTAACATTTTTCTCAGAAACTCTTTTGTACAAAAAGATAATATACTGTGAGGGTGAAGACCGTGGATTCTAGTGCCAGACTACTCTTTTCTCCAGACTGCCTTTTCTCTTTACTCTTCAAAGAGAGAAATTTCAGCCATATGAAGGAAGTAGCAGAAGCACAATCTGAACCCAGTGATCCCTTGGAAGCACCCCTTCCACGATTACGTGCTGGAGGACAACCCCTCATCTAATGACTGCTATGCACATCAGACCAGAGCCTTGCTCCACCGTCAGGAAACAGCACGCAGGTTATCTTCCTCTGGAGCCCATAAATAATTCTTCTGAAAAGATGACTCTAAATAAATTGCAATTGACTTAGACTTTACCCTTGGGAATGTTTATAAGAATCAGTTTTTATTTCTTCAGTATTATTTTTAAGATAATTTGAACAGTCCTACAAAAATTACGGGATGAGACTCCTTTCAGATGGTGATATATGGTGCTATTTCTGGACTCTTTCCTCTTTTCTTCATTTATTTCTCAGCAGACCAAGCAGCAAATCCTTGCTTTATAAAGCAGATTATAGAATCTCCCCAAAGGCAAAGTGGTTCAGATGCTAATGAGCCTGGGTAGAGACTGTGTAATGGGATGATTACATGCTAGATGTTTTTGAAGTCTCCTCTGATCCTTTTAAAAGTGTGGTCAGCACTCTACAGTCTTCTAGATCTTCCAGCTTTTTCACTGTATTTATAAGATTTTCCATTTTGTTGGGGGGCAGCACCTTGGTGGCATTAGCCCTGAATTTTTTCTCTAGGTCTTCCTGGTTCAGTGGATTCCTCCAGTGACCATAGAAGGTATTGCAGCACTCCGTGAATGTAGCTCCATTCTTGAGGGTGACACTGACCTCGCAGTACAGTGTGTTGAAGTTTGGCAGGTTGTCAGAAGGATGCTCTAGCTTCGTCTTCCTGAGCAACTCCGTCACCTGTGGCCTACTGACCTGGTCTTTGAAGAATGATGGGACAGCAATATCTCCGTCAAGCAGCGTAGTGCAGGCCACATACTGGAAGGAGTGACGGGCTTCGTGCTCTGAGTCCGGGAAGGGTCTGTTTACATACTGGACATCTGGAACCCTGAGCACAATGTTCTCGATATGGTCAGCAGGAAGCAGAGCTCCGTCTGAAAGCACAAGGTGCCGTCTCACTGCTGCAGCTGCCTCTGCCACCCAGTGAGTAGCCAAATGTGCAGGGAAACGCTTGAAGGCTACGTCCTGCTCATCTAGCAGCCAACTGTGGGAATCCAGGCTTGGAAGGACCTTTGTGGAGTAGTTTGTGTAGAAGGCCCCAAATCCTGTTGCCAGGTCCAAGATGTGCTTGTTTCCTTGGAGACCTAGCATTGCTAGAAAAGCAGCTTCTGTTCCATGCCTGGCAGCATTCCCTATATGAAGGGGCTTGGTCTGAGTGGCAGCGTTTGCCATCGGTGCCCCAGCAAAAGAAGCAGCAATGGCCAGGGCTTCTTGGCACTCTGTCAGGCTGAGCCCTAATAACTTGGATGCAGCAGCAGCGCTACCCAAAGTTCCCACCACCGAGGGAGGATGGAATCTGAAAAGCGAAACAGAATTGGAGATTTACAAAACAACCACCAGGAGGTAGTATTGCATAGTATCAATAACGGTGTCATACAGCTTCAGTTCAGATTTCAGCTCTTTCACTTATTAGCTGTGTGACTTTGAGAAACTTATTCAACTTCTCTGCATTTGCTTTTTTCTTACATAAAATGGTAATAATAGTATGTACTCATGGGGTTGGGAAGCTTTGAATGAAATCACATATTTATAGCAGTGTTTAATATACAACACATTCTTTATAAGCGGTATAGTTATTGTCAGAAAGACAAAAAAAATTCTGATTCCTGATAGAAGCCAAAAGTTCACTACTCTTCATTCCGATGTATTCTTCTTCTAGCAGGCTGGACCAAGTGGCAGAATAAATAAACCATGGGATTTAGCCAACATTTGACCATTTTTGATCTGTGGAATACACAGTCAGAGTTAGGATATTCTGAATGTCCTCATTAATCTGAAGGGTCCTAATGGACAACAGAGCAAATTTTTCTCTGAGGATGGGGTTGAGAATACTCAGAATACTCATGGATGTTAACGTGACGTGAGTCACCTTGGGATGAGAGACTCCAATTATTTCATGGTCCTAGCTGCTTGATTTGGTCTCTAAACCCAAAGTACATTTTTATTAGTACTTATGAAGCTACACTTTTGTATATGGACGCTGGGTTTTGTATGCAACTGGAACTGACTCATCTCCCAGCCTCCTCAGCAGAGCCAGCCTCTAAACCAGAAACCTCTATGTAGATAGCCAGATGGAGAGGAATGTGGCTGCTCCTCCTCTGAGTAGATTCTCTCCGTACCTCTTTGGAATGTCGCTAGCTTCCTTAGAGAAGTGCATTAGTCTGCCTTGTACTTCAATACCAATGTTGAAAGCCAGTAGTAGGTCAAGGCCAGAAAATTTTGCCCTCTGAGGTAGGGATTCTAGTAAAGCTGTGAGGGCAGGAAGGACAGCCCCAGATGGGTGGGTAGCAGGGTGCCACGTGTCATCAAAATCCATTGAGTGAATCTGTATAAAAAAATATGACCCAGTAAATCCAACTTTTCCCAGAATGCATTCACTTTTGGACCATTAAGGATTTAGTTTAGTAATAATCTGGTTTGTTGTAAGATTTTTTTGATCTGATTTCCTGACATTAAAACCTAAGAAGAAGCTGTGTTTCTTAATCATATAGGTGACAATGGGACTCACTACCACTTTGTTTCCAGGAGGCCAGGACCTTGGACAGCAGCCACCGGACCACTCCCCCCGCCACCCCCCAGGTCTTGGGTCTTGAGCAGGTGGCTAGAAGCTTTTGAAAAGTCTATATAACCCCTTAAGTGTGAAATGGCGGTTTCCTTCCTCCCTCATTTTTTAAACACATCACACTAAACACTTAAGGATTTATTCCACATAAAACCAAACATTTTGTAGCTATTTATTAGAAAATAATTTTAAATTTCTACAGAATTTGCAAGAACAGCATAAGAATTCTCAAACCTAGACTACCTATTAATTAGAATTTAAAATCACTATTTTCTGCTGTAAAGTTGTATTCCTCTTCATTCCAGCCATTTTTTTCATACGAGAAATAGTAATAATCAGAAATTCATTTAAAAATAGAATTTACATGTACTTGATGTGGCTGGTGTGTTTCCTAACTGCTTGCTAGATGCAACATTGCATTTGACTTCAACAGTGTGAGATACTGTCTCCATAAACCATAAAAGAAATCAGAAATCCTAACATGTGTATGTCCATATCACATCTTTTAGACATCTCATGTACACAAAAAAAATATAAAAGTCATCTGTCAGAAGTGCTGACTTCTGTTTTCACTCAGAAAACACAGACACCATGTGACCATTGTTTCTTTGCTGATGAGGAAAATTGAATAGCTGTTGAGGAAACTGAAGGAACATTACTGGACAGAAGTTTGTACCCACAATAGAAAAAAACCGAGAAGAAATTGTGTCTGGATATTAGGTTTTATATTTTTTGCTCTATAAGTTCAGAGTTTACAGTTGGGATATCTTGAGGGTGCTTTCATCTAAATCCTTTCACATCTTCTACTTCATATTTTGTTTGAAAATACAAACTTATTGTAAGAACAGGAAAGTAATGAAAACTGAAATTAGTACAATAGAACAGATGATAGGCTATATCATCTCTGAACTTGAACGATCTTATCTATAAAACAAGGAAGTTATGCAATTCTAAAGTAGCTCCTGGCTCTGGAATTATTATGACAATCTACTAGTTGAAAGGACATGTAAACTTACAGCCACTCCATTAACAAAAGCAGCGTAGGAAGGTGGGAGTCTGAAGTCTGGCTGACCCCAAACCATGCTGGATGTATTGGAACTGTAGATCTGGAGCAGAAGAATATCCGTCAGTGATACATAATGAACATGATATACAGAGTGAGCATTTCAGGAGTGTTTCTTTACCTTTGGAGACATCGTATTAATAGTCCTTATTTGAACCCTTAGAAGCCTTAGTCATTAACATTGTTCCTTATAGAAGAATATACAACTTTACCCATGATAGGAAGAGAAGATGGTGTTGCTAATTCCTACAGTGCTCCAGGTACGTGTATTTGAATTCACTATTATTTCCCTGGCTTAAATACTGGGGGGTGGAGGACTGGCTGCCTAAACAAGGTGCATTCTATGGAGAGTGGATGCTACATTTCCCATGTCATGCCCCCTCTCTGCTTAGAGTACTCTACTTTTCTAATTTTTATTTTTTGTGGTACTGGGGATTGAACCCAGGGCTTCATACTAAGCTACTTCTTAAAAAAACCTTTGAGACAGGGTCTTACTAAGTTGCTAAGTTGCCTAGGCTGGGCTTGTACTCCTCCTGCCTTAGTGTCACAGTGCTGGGATTAGAGGCCTATACCACCATACTTAGTTGCAGAGAATTGTTAAAGTCTTTTCATTAACAAATGGTCTGTGGCAGATATTTTTGCTTCCAAGACTTGGGTTAATATGTGCTTTTCATCATAATAATGATAAGCTGTGATATTTTACTAGTGAGTGGTTTTAATATAGTGACAGTAAAAATATGGATGAATTTTAAAAAGCAGATACTGAAGCTGAGAGAATTATGAAAGTACACAGGGCTGGGCTGTAAAAATCACGTGCTAGTAATATAACTAAGTATAGAGTAACTAGAACACAGGTACATATCTCTAGGTCTAGCCCAGAGTAGGCATACATATACATTTCCTTTTATTGAAATAAATTTCCTTTCATTTGAAATAAATGTGGAGATCCTTACTTTACTATATTGGCTGACTTTGTGAAACACTTCTGTGCTGGTCCCAAGGAATCCAACACCCAGAGTATCCAGAATCATCCTCTTGCTCCTCTGAATGACACGATCTGTTAGGTGTCCTACTTTCAAGCCATGGATGATGTTGGCGAAGCTTTCTGTGACAGACTGCAATGGGAAAATGTTAGAGTGGTGTCGCTCTCCACTTTGTCTTTGCACACTTCTTTTCTAGAAGAGAATTCGAGGGAGTTTTACACCTAGAGGAAATCTGGTTGATAAAATTTAGTTCTATTTCTGAAAGGTGATGTGTACTGAGCACCAGTTTGTGAGGCTCAGGGACGTGGAAATGCACAGTAGCTAGGTTCTGTCCTTGGTTGAGGTGAGGACACAGGCAAGACAGCAGATGATGACAACAGAGTGTGAGGGGCCATCTGGAGAGAAGTACAGAAAGTCAGAGGTGGAGGAAGGAGGAATACCTCACCTGGGAAGTGGGGATGGCTGGGGTGGAGTGCATTCAGACACCAAGCATTGCCATTCTTTGATATCTGTCATCCTATACCCACAAGTCTCTAAGGTGGGTAATATGAGCCTCAGTTTGCAGGTGGGCAGTCCAAGACCTAGAAAACTAACACTACTAATTTTCATAGCTCTTAAATGGTGGGATCTGCACACAAAGGCCTATAGGTTTAACTCCAAAATCAGGACATTTCACTATCAGCCCACAGTTTCTAAGGTGCACTTGGGGGAGCATGAACATCAGAACAATCAACGATTCCTTTTGAAAATGACCCCACTCTACACCATCAGAATTAGACTATCTTCACAAGTAGAATGTCGGGAAGCCTGCTACAAGGATTCTCTTTTCATTCAGCAGCTTGGGTGATTTTCTTCTTTTTGCAGTGCTGGAGATGGAACAAAGGGCTTTGCACATGCCAGGCAAGGGCTCTACCACTGAGCTACACATCCAGCGTCACGATGATTCTTAAGTGCTCTAGGGCTATTGTGTTCAACGTGGTATAACTGCAGCATGGCTGTTGGGTAGGTAAGATGCAGTTCCTCCAAACTGAGACGTGTCATCGAGTAAAATTTCAAAAACTCAGTGGGAGAAAAATATAGAATGTCAATATTTTTAAAATCTAGGTCACATGCTGAATCAATATTCAGGATACTGAAGATAAATATTTTAACATGGCAATATTTAGGACATATTGGTTAAATAAAATATTAATCAGTTTCATCTTACTTTTAAAAATACATTTGCTGGAAAGTATGAAATTGCATAATTGCTGCTCTCTCTTGTTGCCCGGGATTCCCTGGAGACTTTGCTACCTAATCTGGTGATGAAAACGCAGGAGTGAGCCAGGTGAAGGTGAAGGGATGAGGGTGGAAGCTGAAGGTACAAGCAGCAGCACAGGCCAAAGCTTGGAGGGATATGGGTGTGGCATGAATTTTGAACACCTCACCTGCAGGGCTGCAAGCAGAAGACAAGGGAAAGAAGAGTAGATTTGCCGCTTAGAACCCTGAATGATGAATGTTATTATATTATGCTAAAAACAGTAATGTCAGGGGGCAGCCTGCAGAGCCATAGTGTTGTTATAAGATAGGTGGAGATGTGATCAACTGTGTTTGGAAAGATCTCTTTAGCAACTGTTTACAGAATGTATCTGAGTGGGGTGGACAAGAGCAGTTAAGAAACTGCTGTGGCAGCCCATGACCTGGATGGGGACATGGAAGTGCCACCCGCTAGGTGAGGGAACATAGGAAGAGGAATATGCAGTACTGATGTGATCACTGCGAACTTGAGTGTAAAGTGCATTGTGATCATCCCTGTGGGAAAAACCATTTGCTCCTACCCATAAACGAGTAATGCAGGATAGGATGATTTGAATTTCATAAGGAGTAGCAAGTCTTTCAGTGCATGTCCATTATTTTGTTTTCTGAATACTTTTTCTGCATGTATAATTAAAAACAATTTACCTTTTTTTTTAATGCATTAAAAGGCCAAGTTGATTTCACATGCATATTTTGGTCTTTTCATCATCTCTGTCTGACTTCCAGTCCTACTATGTCCTATCATAACATTCCATACATACTTAAAACAAAGCAAAGGGGAGAATTCTGTCTTTAAAAAAATAGGCATTGAAAAATACATTCTTACCAACCTAGACAACACTTATCAAACATTTTGCATTATAAAAAGGACTGTCTAGGATCAAATGCTACAGAAATGAAATAAGATGGAAAACTGTAACAAACTGTTTAAACTATTTTCTTAAAGAGATTTTCTGTATGGTTAATGATTTAAATGGCCTAGTGGTCCATCATCTGCAAGGAATTCTTCACATAACTGATTATCTTTCTCACATTCTTGTTGCCGAGACATAATACCCAACAGAAATCCACAACCTAAAGGAGGAGAGATTTGTTTTGGCTCGCATTTGTATTTCACAGTTAGCTGGCTCCAAGAAGGCAGAGTGGAAGGGTAAGGCAGAGTGGAAGGGTCTGGCAGAGTGGAAGGGTCTGGCAGAGAAAAGCTGTTCACCTCATGGGGGCCAGGAAGTAGGGCTCCAAGGGAGGAGCTAGAGAAGGAGATGTCCCCTTCCAGGCCATGCCCAGAGTGATCTGCCTCTTTTGACCCAACCCCACCTCCTAACAGTACATTTAGCTATAAATTCACCAATGAGTATAATACCCCATGATCCAATCACCTGCCAAAAGCCCCATCTATGGGCACATGGGACTTTGCAGGGATATGTAGAGATAAACCATAACATTCCATCCCTGGCCTCCAAAAGCGTCATGTGCATCTCTTTATGCAAAATGCATTTAGTCCATCTCTAAGAGTTGACAAAATCCTAACAGCTTCTACATTGCTGAAAGGTCCAAATTCAAAGTCTCCTCTGAACTTAAAGCATACTTTTAGCTATGAACCCCTGGAAAAATAAAAAAAGAAAGTTACATGTTGCTGACACAATGGCACAGTGAAACATTCACATTTCAAAAGGGAGAAATGGGGATAGAAACCACTGGGACCAAAGCAAGACCGAAACTTAGCAAAACAAACATTAAATCCTGTAACTCTATGTCCAGCACCCTGGACAAGTTGTGGTGAGATGTGAACTCCAAGGGGCTTGGTCAGGCCCACCCATACAGCATTGCCAGGGCTTGTAGTTTTCATGGCCTCTCTCTTGGGCTGACTTTTCTCACTCCTTGCAGCTTTCCTCAGGAATGTTGACTTTCCTGGCTACACTTTCAGTTCAGTCTCACAGCTTCATGCACTGCTCTCCCATGGACACACTGCCCAGCCTCTCAGCATTTTTTTTTCAAATCTGGGTGGGAGCCTTCATTACACTCACAACTCTTGCATTCTGCAGGCCTATAAAATCAACACCATTTCGATGATGCCAAGGTCTGCCATCAGCTGGAGCAGTAGCTGGGCTCCCTTGAAACACAGTTGCAGAGGCCTCTGAGTGCTTGGATGACTGAGCACTGTGAATAAAATCACAGGAAGCTAATTTCCCTCTGTTCCCTCTATGCCTTCAAAGCATCATTTATATCATCCTAATGTAAAATATACTAATTTTTCAGCAACCAAGCTCTTCCCTGTTTCAGCTTTATAGGAGCTTCTTTTTGGCTGAAACCCCAAACTTTAAAAATCAGACAGCTGTGCCTTCTGGTCTTGATTCTCAGTGTAGAGCTGGCTAAAAATTTCCAACAGTACCAATCCACAGCTTGAATGTTGGGTTGCCTTGAAATTTCCTCTACCATTATTAATTACCATAAATTAATTTGCAGCCCTTAATCTCAGTCCCCTGCAAAGTCTCAGGTCATTAGCAAAATGTAGACAAATTTTCTTCCAGAACATAACACACCTCACTTGGAGTCTAACTGCCAATGTAGTTCTTTTTCCCAGTTGAAACCCCCTGAGTCTTGTCTTTACTCTCTGCTTTTTTATGAGCATTCTGTTTTACTGAGCTGCAACCAGAATCTGACATCAAGCCTGGCTTATAGCATCTAGGGCTGCCTTTGCAGCTAGCATTTCCAAACCCTTCCAAATTCCTCCTAAGAACCACTTTTAAAGGCTTCTGAACTACATGTTCAAGTAGTATCAAATCAATGATCCTACTTCTCTGGTACCAAAATCTATCTTAGTCACTTCCTTGCTACTCAGACACAATACTCAGTAGACATCCACAATTTAAAGGGGGAGAGGTTTACTTTGACTCACAGTTTTTGTCAATAGCTGGCTGGCTTTAAGGCAGGAAGCCATGGTGGAAGGGTCTGGCAGACGAAAGCTGTGAATTTCTTGGTGACCAGGAAGCTGAACTCCAAGGAAGGAGCTGGAGAAGGAGATATACCCTTCCAGGCTACGCCTGGAGTGACCTGTCTCTTCAGATCCAGCTCCACCTCCTAAAAGTACATTTAGCTACATGCATCAGTGGACTAATCCACCAATGAGCACAGTGCCCCATGACCCAGCCACCTCACCGAAGCCCCACCTATGATTGCATGAGGCTTTCAGGAGACATCTAGATATAAACCATAGTACTGATAAACTTGGCTTCTTCTTTTTTGCTTTAATATTTCCTACAGAATGGGACCCTTTTGTTTTAGAAGTTTTCATCTTATTTTTGAAGAATTCTTGACCTTTTTGATCTTAGCCCAGAAGATCTTGAGTCTTTTCGTTCTGCTTTTTTTTTTTGTTTCACTAGAGTTTTTCTTCAGTTTCTTTATCACCATTGTTGTCATCATCACGGTCACTGTCATCTTTATCAGCAGCAAGCATTACCTTTTTCTGTGGAAGCTTGTTAGTTTCCAGAGGAAGAATGCTTCCCCAAATATATGTAAGAATTTTCCATCCTCTTTCTCTTCTGATTCATCATCTTTCTCCACAGCTACTAAATACTGTCCAATAATATGCATGCATAAGCCCTGAACCACACTTCAACCCTAGGATCATGGGGAGGGGGATTACATTCATTGTCCCTCAGGGAAACACTGGCTATAGGAAATTTTCCACATGGTTAACATTACCATAATAAACTTCCTTCATAATTCATTGCATCTGCATTGACAATGTGCAATTCAGCCTTTGCACCAGCCCCTAAACTGACCATTCTTAAATAGAAATGGTGCTCTTTTGTATCATTATCTACCCCAAAGTGATAATCTTTGTCAGCCTTGAATCACAAGTGGAAAGATAGTTCTGGGACCTCAGTTGGCTCTGTCTATGTCCATCAAATCTTCAAGGGGAGGATGGACTGTACTTAGGTGGGAGAGAACATGAACAGAGATAAATAACTGCTGCTCCAGAGAACAGACTTGGGACAGAATGATGCAAGGGCAAAACCATGCAATCTGAAGGGGCGTTTCACTCTATGTGTGCCTAGCATTTAGTACCTCTGGGTGCAGTGTGAACTAGTTTCCTTTCTCTGCTCTAATAGTCACATCACTGCGCAACTTCCTTTGTCTCTCAGAGCCCACGAGCCCTCACTTACAAATGTTAACTGTAGGCTGACGGGTTGTTGGGTTAGATCTCTCATGCCGAGCTCAGTGTCAGGGGAGGTACAGAGATGGAACCAGGGTCCTGCCAAAGGTCCTTTACCCTGGCCACTATTCTTAGAATCTCTAGATTTATCAAGTCAGACAATGCTCACCATTTACACAAGATGGCTAACTTCTAATGTCTCTGAAATTTTGATAGAAAGTGAGGGGAGCCCGAGATGGGAGAAAGCAGAAGGGAAGACAGCTGGGAGACAGAAAGGGTGCTGGCAGGAGTATATTTGGTTGGGGCAGAAAATAACAATAATGCTGACTTTCATGTTGCTAAATATTTGAGAAAACATCTAGAAGCAGAGAGAGAGAGAGAGAGAGAGAGAGAGAGAGAGAGAGAGAGAGAGAGAGAGAGAGAGAAGGAGAGAAAAGAACTGGCTTCATGATTTGCCAAGTAAAACTGAAGGCCTCAAGAACTAGTTGGATCCTTGGTTCTAAGACAATTTCTTTTTACCTTTGTTCTCACTCCAATCGTTTGCATGGTGGAGGATATTTAGTGCATAATAAGTCATCCTTTCAGGGTTAGGTCTGACATGATAGTG